TAATATAGAATACATCTTCACAGGCAAATTAATCTTTTTTTGTGCGTTTATTATCTTTACTTTTCTTTTAACTACACCACGAATTCCCCCAGATGGGCAGAACAAATGTCGCTCATTTGAGTTTAAAAAGTTTGTGCAATGGTGAAGGAGGGCACCTATTGACTTTTCCATTGTGTAAATATTTTCACATTTTAGTTTTAGACTTCTCCAAATAGAAAGTAATAATTAATTAACTTATAGAGTTGTTTATCAATTTTCATTCTCCACTAAATGGTGAGGAGGTAGTATATCTATTAAATGTGATGTTTTCTTTACCACCTTGGCATTTGCTTCAAATTGTTATCATTTCAACAAAGTTTATAAATAAAAATAATTGCCACAAACTTAAATAAAGTTTTAAATAATTTTCATTTATAATACATAAGAAACCAGTAGACAGTTAAAAAACTAAGCTTTCTGTGTGATCAACACTTTTATTAGTTGAATATATAACAATTTGGAAAAAAAGGCAACAACAAAAAAGTAATATAGATAAATGTCATAAAGCTTTAAAGGATAAAAAAAATAAATGACATAAAGTTAAATAAAAAAAAAAATAATAATGGTTACTAAGGTTAGACAGTAAATATATTATAGCAATGGTTACTTGCAAGATAAACTAACTAACTTTATAAGATAAATAAACTGTAAAATAAAAGTTATACCACGTAAAAGAATTAAGTTTTACTTTATATCTTACAAATTCCAAAAAATTCATTTTTTGAAAAAAAATTGACTTTCCATTATATATGAGCAACCATAAGTAAAATCTTGTACACGAGAAACATATTACAGAATAGTTTCATTTTAGTTTTATCTATAACTGAACCCTTTGGCTATTGTTTATAACTTTTGATTTTGCTTTATACACCTTTGCGTCGACTTAATTTACACGAGATTTGTCAAACTGAATAGACTTCACTCCTTTAATACACTCAAAATACTCGTTAAAATGAAAAACAGCATAGTTTCCATTTTAACTGTTTTCTGTAGTGACAAAACGTGAACAGCCGTGTCGCACTGGTTTTAGAATCCAAAGTTTTGGCTCAGAATCCAAAATGGCTCAAAATCAAAGTTTTTATTCTGAGCCATTTTGGATTTGCGGCTCGACGGCGGCTCTAGCTCAATAGGCGATATTGGTAAGAGGCGATATTGGAAGGAGACGTGAACTTCCTAGTTAAATGCTTTTCCGCGGTGCTGATAAGACCGTAAGGACTTCTGGTTTATCATAAAATTTTTTCTAGATATCTTTGCTGTACGGTTCAATCTAGCTTTGTGAACTTCCTTATTCAGAGATTCTTTATATCTTTGTTTATAGACACCTTTTTTTTTTAATTTATTATATTTCGTCAATAAACAATAATTTTACAATGTTTTTTGTAAAAATTAAAAATTAAATCTTTATATTCTGACAGGAGCAAGTAAAAGACAATACGTCTTATCACCCTGCTCGTATGTTCGTGAAAATATCAATAAAGTTTTACGTATTAAGTTTCTAAAATATACGTTATATAAGTTTTATACATATTACAAGTTTTATACATATTATAACATATCACAATTCATAAATTATACCTAAGTTAAAAGATGCACATAAACGTGTTAACAATTCTATATATAAGTGTTATTAAAAATACAAAAAAATGTTTTTATTATTTAAATTTAATAAATATCGTTTAACTGTTCTTTTAAATAGTTCAATTGAAGTCATGTTTTTCATGTCTGAATTCAGGATATAGTTTCACCAATGTGGTCCTTGACATGTAAGTCTGATTTTTTAAGAGATGTTGTAGGAATAAGAAAATTGCCGATGGAATGTCTTGTAAAGTATTTGTGATTAATTAAGGAGAAATGAGGCTGAAAATATGTATGAAGCATGTTGTTATGAATTTTAAATATAAATATGAGACTTTGATAGATGTTTAGTTCATAAATAGTTAAAACATTATTTTTTTTAAGTAAAGGCTCGGCGCTTGCATATCTACCTGCATTCAAAACTAACTGGCTCGCTTGCTTTTATTTGCGATAAATTTTTTTTAAAGAAGATGAATAATTACTTACCTACGTTATATTGCAATAACTAATGTGGCTATGAATAAATGAAAAATACAAGCTTTTTAAGCACATTATATTCAAAAGGTGCTTCGTTTTGAAAAGAATCCCAAGAGCTTTTGAAATGTTGTTTTCCACTAAGTGGGTATTCAATACTTTGACTAGAAGCACCATCAAAACCACCTTTAAAGTGAAGCACACCTTTGAGCTATATAGATCACAGAGCGTTATATAACGCTTTTAATCAATATGGCTCTGCACAAAAGAGACAGTTATCTCCTACTTCTATCAATATTTTCAACTTAGCGTGACAATTTGCGAACAGCTAATCAGAAAATGTTAAAATTACTTCTAGTGAATCTCCTAGTTCTTCAACTAAAGTCATTCTTAACTAAAAAAAAAAAAAATTAATTTATGGTATTTTTATAAGATCTCAGAAACGACAATTTGAAATTAAAATACAGTGTCAAAAATAATTTTTTAGTTCCCAAATATCTTAAACATGCGCCTTCAAATTAAAATTTGAACGGTTTTTACCCATACCAACCTTAAAAAAGTGACACTAAAGCAAGCGATAAAAAAAAATCAATGTCTTAAGAAAAGCTCAAAAAATAGGTGATATTTGTTACTTTTTAATTTAGTTTGAAAGTTTTTTTTTAGGTTATTTAGGTGCTACCAGAAGTCCTTACGGTCTTATCACGGAGCACCGCGGGAGAGCATTTAACTAGAACTTCACGCCTCCTTCATTACTAATGTCGCTTATTGGGCTAGAGTCGGCGTCAAACCTCTGGCCCCTCTGGGTTCTGAGCCAAAACTCTAACCGCTGCGCCACGGCTGCTCAAAAAAAAGTTCCTTTCAGTTATTTTACTTGGGTGGGAGGGGGGTGTTTTTCCGGGTTTTTTTTTGGATTTTGACTCACTTTGAGCTGGCCTCAGAAACATAAAACAGAGTTAAATGGTTAGTAAACATAGAAATTGTAGTTTATTAAAAACCATTCGTTTCTTTTGTGCCCTATTGTATAAAGTTTCTCTAAGAATAACACAGACTTACTAAATTCAAAGTTTTTACGTATGGCTTTTGAAATGATGTGAACACTACATAACAGTTACTGTACAAGGAATCTGAATCATGAGCAGCTGTGGCGCACTTGCCTCAACGTAAGATCCGTGGTTCAAACCCCACCTCTGCGCAAGTTTTGCGACATCGATTGGGAAGGAGGCGTGAACTTTCTATTAAATGCTCTTCCGCGGTACTCTGTGATAAGACCATAAGGACTTCTTGGGGCACCTTAATCAACTTAAAAAAAAAATCTACATACATAAGAGTCACTGTACAAGGAACAACAAAATTGCGGACAAAATATTTATTTGTTCAAACGTTTTTTCTTTTTTGGATATTTGTTTACACGTAAGCAAGTATCTGAGGAGAAAACTTTATTTTAAAAAGCATTTTTTTCTCCTCGCATATTTGTTTTACTCCACGTTTTTCCGAAAAAAAAAAAAAGTTTTTTCAATTATACAATATATGTAAGTTTTTTTCATCAAAAAGTATGACATATTTGGTATGTATGGAAAGATTATTTTAACCACTAATATAATCTGGTAAAAGTAATGCGACTATAACAAATTGTCAAGCGTAGTTTTATTTAGAAAAGATGTAATTTTCAACATAAAGTACCTTATGGTTTGGCTATAGATAAGTCTGTGGATTTGATTTTTTTCATAAAAGCACGTATTGGTGTTTGTTTTCAATGAATAAACTTGACATTTATAATCAGACATTATTTGGGAAATTTATCCACTAAAAACCGTTTTTTTTATAAAAATTGAAGTTATTATTTTCAATACCACACCTAAATGAGTAAGTTTAACAGTAATGTCACGTTAGATTCAGATAGACTATGGTAGTATTAACTTTTCCACGAAACTTTTAGCCCCATTCAAAAAACAGTTTTCGGTATTTTGTTATCATATTTTAAAATACTCGGGACTTATTCGGCCATCTTGAAAAAATAAATATTCCATTTAGAATGCGTAAACAATTAAAAAACAGTGGCGGTAAACTTTATAAACAAATTACTTTCATTTTCAAACTCGTTTCGTTTTTATATCAGTAGTAAACTTTAATAGACATTTGGTTTCTTTTATTTTTATAATAATAATTTAAAAGTAACATAAGTTATTTTTAACTTATTGTTATAAAAATAATTATATCTTTGAGCAGCTATTATGGCTTCGGTAATGTTATAGATAATATATTAGATAAATACTTTTTGCTGTTACCACTGCGCAAAATAAAATATATATTACATAATTCATTCCAATTGCTTTTAAAGGTAGCATATTTTTTTAAAATATACCAACAAAAATATGTTAAATTGTAATTTGGTTAATAAATTATGTCAAACAAACACTTCAAGATATCTTTACTATTATATTGATATATCTCTTGTTAAACTATTAAAACGTTTCCGTTGTTTATAAAATCTTGCCACTATTTACGAATTCATTGTTTGCATAAATCAAATACCAATAAATAAAATATTGTTCGGTTTGCCACTAACAACCAACCTGATTTGTTTAAAATTATCGGCTTTTTTTTTTTTTTTTTACGAGTTTGCATGTTCTATGCCTTAGTTGCATTGAGTAGTAGAAAGACAAAGACTTATATATTTTGTCCGGTTTATTGGAGCGCGCAATAATACAATAATACGCAATAATCAAACAAATGACTTAAAGCTTTTAGGTCATTTAATGCATTTAATTGTAATACCCATCATATTAACAGACAAGTAAAAACTTCTCACCAGTACCCGACATAAAACTGACGTCATTACGATGTTTTATATTAATTCGATTTATTGAAGTGTTATAGTTATTGTTATAAAAGTATTATTAAAATAACCAAAATTTATAAAACTATTATTTATTATTTTTAAATGCATAATCTAACATTTCACTAAGTGAAACGATTTTTTCTCGTGGTTTTTTGCTTAGGTTTCCTCTCTGAACTTCTTCGAAATCGATCTGCTTGTAGCCATCAAATGAAACATATTTGATACCTTTAAATAAAAATTGGGATCGTCGTTAAAAATTATTTACAAATTTGCCAAGTTCAAATGCTTAGAATCATTATTATCTTACTCCATTATCATAAAAATATTTAAGCGCATTTTGATAATATTAAATTTTACACAGGTACGCAAAAGATTCAATTTTTTTTACGATAACATTCCAAGCATGGCCTACTTAAATACACAACCTTCAATTCTGCTTAAATCGAAAAAACGTAGATTCCAACATATGAAAAAGTTTCACAAAATATTTTAATTATTGTGCTATAAATTTTAAGTAAATCTGGCACTGGATAAAAGTTTTCGCGTTAATAGATTAATAGACATCTATACTAAATTTCACTAAACTTTGTATTGTTATTTGTGGCTACTTTTTAGTTATTAATAATAATAATGGCTAATAAATGCTGTATTGTTGGTTGTACCTCTAGTTATAATGGTGGTAAAGTAGTTCCAGTTTTTGGTTTTCCAAAAAATAATGAAAACAAAAATTTACAAATCTAACCCGTAGCTTAAGAAAGTTATGGGTTAGGTTTGTAAACAGAATTTCTAAACTGTAACTAAACCGTCTGTGATCTTTTTAAAACAGTTTAATGAGAGTTTGATACATAAAGGAGCATCAGCAAAACGATTTCGTTTGTTATATAATTTGAAGCTTGTTTCTGCAATAGGCTAGCATAGTAACAGCTTCACTTCCAATTACGTCTATACCGAGAAAATAAAAAAATTTATAAAACTTAAAGAATTTTTCAAAAAAATGAATATCAGAAGCACTTAGGAACAGTCACAGTAAAATGATGAGTTTTTATCAAATAATGTTATTAAAGATCTTAATTCTATTACAATTGCTGATTCACCAAATGGATATTCATTTTCCAAATTTAATGATTATGTGGTGTTCCGTAAAATTATTCAAAATGAACTACATATACTTGAAGTTGCTGAATGTATTCGTATTGACAAAAGTCACTTTACCATTTTGACTCAGAGTAACCCACCAATGTATGTTTAGGAGAAGGAGTATGCTGGAAAACTTCAATTCACATTTTAGCATCAAAAAAGAAAAGTTGTCTTCTATTCTTGAAGAACTAATAAGTCACCAAATAAAAAAAAATCAAATTTATTCTTGAAACATGCTTTAATTTACCTTGATGTTGTATTACACATCATTGCAAACTTATCATTTACTGCTGAAGGAGTTCCCACATCCGTCTATATCACTGTTAGGCAATCTTAAAGAAGGTGAAATTGATTCTATGAAGGTTTTGAATTTGTTACATGAAAATGGGAGCTTATCAAAAGATCTTATAATAATTTTTGATGAAATGTATTTGCAAAAATGTGCTGAATATTCGGGTGGAGATGTAACTGGGATTATAGAAGAAAATGAATGTTATAGAAGCATCGTTTTTTTAATGGTAGTTTGTTTAAAAGAAAATATCGCTTGTGTCATCAAAGCAGTTCCAATTATAAAATTAAACAGTAATCGGTTGAAGATTCTTAACCGGTAACCGAATCGGTTGAAAAATTCTTAACTTGATTCAATCTTTAATAAAAAATACTTTTAATGTTTAAAGTGTTGTTTGTGACAATTATGCTTCAAATGTTTCCTCTTTTGCAAAGTTGCTTGATACACATAGTAAAAGACTAAATGTTTATTAATGTACAATCACAAAAGATTTTCTTTGACATCTTGATTAAAAACATTCGATTAAAAACATTCGAAACAACTTAATAAATAAAAGTTTATTTTTCCAGAATTTCATTTTTCAACTTTTAAAGATAAAATTCACGTTCAACTAGGAGAAATATCATAAGAGAAAATATTTCATGATTTGTTAAAAAAGGACATCCCGTTGGATGCATGTTTAAAAAAAGCACCGAAAATAAATAACAAAGTTGTCCATCTTAGAATTTACAAGCAAAATGTCACTGTTGCTTTAGATATTTTCCATGAAACTGCATCAGCAGCAATAAAATCATTAATATAATAATTGGTGGACAATTACAAATTTAAAAAACCAGTTTTCTAATAACCGTCTTGAAAATACTGCTATTATTAATAATAAAAAACCTGAGTTATTTTCGAGCTTTTGCTGACTAGTTGATTAAACGGAAAAACACCAAAATTCCAAATTTTGAGAAATATACATAATCTCCTCAAACATCATCAGCATTACAAAGAACTTTATCATGTCAAGCTTCATTATTAGAAGACCTGTTGGAAGATAATTATCAATTTATATTGACTGCTTATTTTCAAAGTGGTCCATTAGAAAGAAGATTTGGACAATACCACCAAATGAGTGGAGGTTCATTTTCAGGTTCATTGTCAGTTTAATTGAAGTTATTTATAGTGAGAAGATAAGATAAAGGCGCTTATGATGGCATACCGGTCATATTTTCATAAATATTGGTTATGGCAAAAAAGTGATCTACATTTTTATACTGACTTTAAATTAGTTTTAGTAAAAACACGTCCCTTATGCACAAATATTGTTTTTATAATTAATAAAAAATGATTTTGGATGTGCTGTTGTATTTTTAATTTTATTATTAACTGTGCAGAAATTTTCATGCATTTTATTTCTGAGTGCATTTAGTAAAATACTTACTTTAATTTTATCTTATGAAAAAGGCAGACATTTAAATGAAAATGATGACTTCTTCCTATCATGGCATACTGACGAGTTAGGTGTATTGCAATATTGACGAGTTGGGAAAATCTTTTTTTTTTCTTTTCATAAATTCAACATATTTGTTAGTAAAGTAAAAAGGAATTTTTACTTCACTAAAAATTTTTTGGTTCAAAAAAACACATAAAACACATGCACAAAATTCTACACTGTTGGTGTGTAGCATAAAACAGTAAATTTCTGGCATTTCTGAGGGAAGACTCTAAGGTTAAATGAAATCATCAAGTTACCTTTGATGCTAACCAGCCCCATACTCCCCTATGCCATCATAAGAGCAATATTTGCCTATGATGGCCTACTTGTGTTTTTTTTTAAATAAGAATAACTAATAAAAAAATAAAATTGATGAAAAAGGGTTATTAGTCTAAATGTAATAATGAATGTATCCATATTAAAACTTTTATTCTTGGTCTACTGGATACTGAATAATGAAACTTCAAAGTATGCTATCACAGGCGCCTATCCCCTAATCCAAATAAAAAGTTTAATAAAGGAAGGAATTCAAATTTTAAAAAATGATATTAATGCTGTTGAAGATACACAACATACTAGATTCTTGATGGTTGATGGATCAGATCAAAGAAAGAGATTTAGATTTTGTGATTTTATCAGATGTGAAGCTGCTAGTTATATTGCTGGTTTCATTGCCAAAAATCTGTTTAAGAAGTTTAAAATGTTGCAAATTGCTTTGTACTTAACATTGTCAACAGGAGTCGAATGATTAAAATTATTTAAATAAATTGTTCAGAGGTGGGTCAACAACTCCATCATTATCCTTTTTAGAATATGTTTGTGATAAGTATATTTTTAGAAATAGTTTTGCTATGCTAGATCATGTATTTGATGTTATTTATCAGTCTCAAATGCACTGTAAAGCAGCAAAGTTAGTTCTTGGCAGTAGAGAAGGTTGCCAACCATTTTTATGTTTATATCACCAAAATCGTCGAAAAGAAATTATACACAATATTATTTCAAATATTTTTTTTAATAACATCAGAGAATCAGTGTTGTAGATAACATAAATAAAAATATAAGAGATATATAAATATAAAAGAAAAAAATTAGAATATTTTGTTTCACATTTTTCATCATTTTGTGTTCCATTTTTTTAATACTTCTAAATCTTAGATTTGAGAATTTGTGTATTTTTATTCAGTCCTTGAATATCCCAAAAATTCTACTGACAAATATAACTCATATATTTTGAAATTTTTTTTAGTAATATATAATTTTGAAGGTTAATAAATGCTGTGTTGTTTTCAATAAACATTCATTAACCATGATTACTATTTATTACTAAAAAGAAGCCTCAATTAAGTATACAAAGTTTAGTAGATATTTTAATCAAGTATACAAAGTTTAGTGTAGTTTGGTAGATATTTGATTGGGACAATTAAGTCAACACAAAATTTTTATTCAGTGCCAAATTTACTTAAAATTTATAGCTCAATAATCAAAATATTTCGAGAAAGATTGTCCATCTGACAAAATATGGGTTTTTTAGCTGGCCTTCTATTTTTTCTGATTTAAGCAGAATTGAAGGCTGCGTATTTAAGTAAGCCATGTTCCAAGCAAACATTCTATAGCTAAAAGTGTCATTAAAATTAGCTAGCCGATAACTAGCCACTATACCACATGTTGAAAAGTTATCCGCTGGCCAATTATAGCATATGCATCTAATGGTTCACTAAGTAGCCGATGTGCAAAACTCCAATGAACCGCTCAAAATGCCTATATAGGTCCACTACAAATCTACTACAACAGCCTTACTAATTAAAAAAAAATATATATCATATGGAAATTTAATGCTTTCTTATAAATTTAAAGCGCCACCATTTTATACAAGCATCAATATTTAAAAAAATTGTTTTTTTAGGCTTCCTTCACCTGCCAATCAAAAATATGAGCCTAGTGGCCTAATTTACAACTGTATATAAAATAATAATAATAAAAAAAAGAAAAAAAAAAAAAACCTGTAATAGCAATAAAAAAAAACAAACTACAACTTTATGATTATTATTAAAAGACCTTAATAATAATAAAAAAGACACAAACCTTTTAATTTCATATATTCTCCAACATTGGTGTCAAATTTATCTTGTATTATTCCTAACAAGATAAAGAAAACATTTAACTGTAAATAATTAATCATTACTAAAAAAGTTATGATATTATTTATTTATAATTTTCATGATATTAAACATAATTATATTATCACTGATTAAAATAAAATCAAAAAAATCGTACCCATCCGTTTATTAAGACCACCTACAATCCCCACTCACACATTTATTAGATTTGGACAAAATTCCCACACACCCTTTTTTCCCACCCCATCTCGTATTAACCGCCTAGAAGTATAGAAAAATAATTTAAAAAAACGTAAAGTAGAAGACTTAATAAGACCAAAGTGGAAAAATCAAGATTAAAGCAACAAAGATTAGCAGTAACTATTTGTGTTTTGTTTGGGTTAAAATTCACTGATCACTGCTGACAAAAAAAAAGATCACATTTATTGGCTACCTGTTCTAACCAATCAAAAAGTGATAAATTTTTATCAACACATGAGTATATAGTTGTATCTTCACCAAAACCAGTTTAGAGGTAAGGTTGTTGTAGGTTGTTTAGAGATTGTTGGGAAGATCATTAATAAAGGTGAAAAACAACATGGAACCAAGAATATAACTTTGTAGTACAATTTTGAAAGACTGCGACAGGAATGTTGCGCTTACCAAAAGCTGTAGAAGTGTTTATATAAAAATAACTTATTTTTTTAAGGTTTTCAGTTCAAGTTACTTTTACTTCAGAATATTTTAACCACTCTTTCCAGCAAGTTGACATGGAATTAAAACTTTCATTTTTTAATATTTTTTCAGAACATTTAAAACCTTTAAAAAATGAGTGTCCTAAACATTATGTGGTCGTATCTTTTGAGTGCCAGAATATATATTGATAAGATTTGAAACCTAATTACATTTATGATTGGATTTAAGATAAAGGTTCCTGACCCTAAAATAAGTATTTCTGCCTCTGTGCTCTGATTGGTGTGATTTTTTGCAAAATATTATCATTTAAATAAATATTAGCGCAATAATAGTTGCAATTGTCTTCTTGTCAAAAATCTATTGAGTTGTGGTTGTACTGTTATCACCCCATTAGAAATGTTCAAAATTTAGCAATAACAAATAAAATCATCTTTATTTCTTTATAAACAGTTCAGTAGTTGAATTATGCAAAAAATTTGTATCGAACTCGAATAAAAACGTTTGAAAAAAGAAGTGATTAAGATAGAACTTAATATTACTGTTTTTTATGTTGTTGTTTGAACAATTGTTTGAGCACAACATTGTTTTAGCATTTTTATTATCAATACTTAACAAATTTTTGGTTCTTTTACATCTATTTCTTCGCGTGATAACCTCTTCTTTTATAAACTCTTCTTACCATTTTCTTGCATGACTTAACTGATAAAAATCAATTTTTATTTTCAAAAAAAATGAAACAATGCTGTAATAATGCATGACGTAAATAATACTAAATATTTCTTCACTGATATAGAGACTGCATTATTTTTTTGGCATCTCCTATAACATTCTTAACTATAAAAAAATTATTAAGGAAAAAATATCTAATCATTTCAAATTAATAAGAAGAAATAATTTAAATTATTTTATTTAAATTATTTCTTCATTCTTTGCAATGTTTTCACCCCATTTAACATGACTGCCAATGCAATTGTTTTCGCTTGACAATAGAGCAACTTAATCAATTAGGAATACAAAAATCTCTACTGACACACATAAAACATAAATAAATCTCAGATAACAAATTTAGAGAAATAAAATGCCTCAAACAGTATCTTAAATATTAAAGATATTTTTTTAATCTAAATATGTTCTTGAAAAATCTTCTTACAACCTTTTTTTTTGAATTGTATTCAACAACCATAGCTTTCAGCTTTTCTCAGACACAACGAACCAGTGCATTGTTTAAGTTTTTATGTTTCACATGTTTGTTCTGATGTAACACCGAGTGTTCTGCCAAGATGGAACCTGATTATGTGATACTTCCATCTAAGTGAATTTTTCATTGTGAATATATCCTAGAAATATATTTTTAAGTGAAGCATGGACTCCACAAACTTATCTATTTTCTCTTTCTAGGATATATCGAGTTTCATCTTCAGTTGAATATGTTAAATTTACAAAAGAATCTTTGCATATAGCTTCATAAAACTGTAAAGCATTTTGAATAATAATTTATCTTGCTTTAACTTTTTGCTCCACTATTACTTTGCTAGATATTCCACTTGAAGTTGCAATATTAAAAGTTACTTGGAAATACTTTAAGAATTTCACCAAAAAGTATTTTTTAAATTGATGGACCATCACTCAAAAAATGTTACTTTGTGTAATGGACCATCACTCAAAAACTTTGTGTATGTTTATATATATATATATATATATATATATATATATATATATATATATATATATATATATATATATATATATATATATATATATATATATATATATATATATATATATATATATACAGAGTGTTAACCAGGAACAAATTTGATACAGCGTTTTAACGAATGATCAGCGCCAAAAATAAAATAAAATACCATCTGTATCATTAAAGATGAATATGAAATCAACACAAAGTTAGCTGTTGTTTCACGACGACACGGCAAACTAAGAACCGATTTCCGAACATATATTAGGAATGATATATTTTTTTTATCATAAAATAATCAGTGTATATTAATTATTATTGAGAATGATTAATTTGATTTATTTTAAATCTTTATATATTGTCGCAATATATAACTTTTATATATTGTTTACATTTCAAGAGTATTATTTTGAATATATATTTCTTTTTCAATGTAATATAGTAAAACAACGATCTCCAATGAGCCATTGATCTTCTACTTCTAATTATTGTTTAAATTCTGCTTGACGTACTTTACGGACGAACCCTTACATCATCATGTAATAAATTGTGTTATTAAAAGAATTTTTTGAAAATAGATAAGGTTTTAAAAATAAAAATAAAAGTAAACACAAGCTCATAAATTTTATATTTCACATTTATTGTGAGTTCAATTTTACAATTAATAATAATTTATTTTATATAAAATCGCATAGCGAAATAAAGTTATAATCACAAAGTCTCAGCAAAAACAACAACAAATGTCGTTTATTTATAGAGTATTATTATTAGCAAGCGATTGCACGCGTGTCATCAAAAAACACCAGTAAAAAAGTAAAAAAATTTAGCAAATTCAGTTGATACAAAATACCAAACAAAAAAAGAAAAACAATAACTAAAAGACTTTCCGTGATAACCGTAATTGAGTATCTGACATAACCTTCTCGATGTTTTTGTTGACGAAATACATGTTTTTTTTTTTTTTTAATTATCTTCCCTTCCAACAAGGTTGCAAGCAACCACTAATTAGTGTTGGAAGTTACTGGAAGAGAAAAGATGAAGATTGTAGAGCAAGATAACAATTGACAGACGACTTAAAATATTGCAAATTATATGAATCAGGAAAGCAAGATGAAGGAAGCGAATTCCAAAGAACTGATGTTCGAGGGAAAAAACTAGACGAATAAGAGTTTTTGGAGCACTTAGGAACAGTAACAGAAAAAGGATGAGACTTAATTGAATGACGAGTAACACAAGAATGAATTTTAGTAGATGGCACAAGAGACGCTAGCTCTTTAGAGCAGTGCCCATTATAGTATTTGTAGAAAAGAGAAAGAGAAGCAACATTACAACGATGTGACAAAGGTTGGCTGCAAGAGCAGGTCCAACTATGTTTACAATGCGTTTTTGCACCTTGCCTAAAAGAGAAAGGGCATCATTAGAAGATCCGCCCCAGATATGGCAACAGTATTCCATACAAGGCCGGATTTGAGATTTGTAGAGATAGAGAACAGAATCCAGAGTAAGAAAGTGACGAGCTCAATAAAGAGAATCAACTTTAGCAGATGCTAATTTTGCAACGGATTTGATATAAGGTTTCCAAGAAAGATCAGAAGTAAGAGTTAATCCTAGAAGATAAAGGGTAGGAGACTCATCGAGTACATTACCGTTCATAAATATAGGAAGGTCTAAATTATTGCGATAACGATTGGCCGAAAAAAATTGAGTTTTATCTGAATTAAAGTTCACCAGCCACTTGAGCCCCATGCTGTAGCAGAAGTGAGATCCTTTTCGAGCTCAGATGCCCCCTGCAAGCAATCAGAGGGAGTTGGCTTCGTATCGTGACAAAAATAAATGGTAGTATCATCAGCGAACAATGCCACCTTAGATGTGAGAATATCTGGAAGATCGTTAATGTAAATTAAAAAGAGTATAGGGCCAAGGATTGAACCTTGGGGAACCCCTAAGGTTACAGAATAAGAAGAAGAGTGCTGTCCATCAAGGACAACTTTTATACTACGATTGGAAAGGAAGGATTCAATAATCTTAAAGATGTTTCCAGATACACCATAAGAAGAAAGCTTATGGAGGAGACCAGCATGCCAAACTTTATCAAACACTTTAGAAATGTCAAGAGCAATGGCCTTAACCTCTCCACCTTTATCTAATGCGCGATAAAACCTATCGGTTATTACTGATAGCAAATCAGCCGTAGAACGAGAAGATCGAAATCCATATTGATGATCAGAAAGTAGGTTATGAGATTCGAGATGAGAGATTAAGTGTTTGTTAATTAAAGATTCAAAAACCTTGCTTATGATAGGAAGAAGACTAATGGGACGGTAGTTAGATGAGTCAGACTGGAAAACAAGACTCTGATAAGCACTTGTTGAATAGTTTTGAAAAGATAGACGACAGCTCAGGAGAACACTTCTGCAAGACTATAACAGGTATGTTGTCCGGGCCGCAAGCTGTAGAAGAGTCTAAGCGGGAAATCACTTTAGATACAGAAGCTGGAGTGATACAAATGTCGAGCAATGGATCAACCTGTTTGATGGGTATATCAGGTAAAACGCAACTAGTGGCATCAAGAGATGATATTGATGAAAAGTTCTTGGCAAACAATTCAGCTTTGTCTTTAGGTGAGGTGACAAAGTCTGAACCGTACAAAAGAGGTGGAATTACAGACTTGCCCTTATTATTGATACTATTAAAGATTCTCCAGAAGTCACGAGAGCCTAATTTTTGTGATGAAATACGAGATTTCATGATCTGAGAATAGCGGGTTTTGGCGTTAGACAAAACCTTTTTACAATGGTTCCTAGCAGTAATAAAGAGACGTCTGTTTTCTGGAGAATAGTTTTGCTGATAGATATGAAAGTAATGGTTTCGATTGGCAATTGCAGCAGCACAATGTGAGGAAAACCATGGAGAAGAGTGAGGCTTGACCTGGAGTCATCGAGGGAGAATAAAGGATTCCATGCCAGCCTGAATCCACGAAGTTATGTACTACTTAAAGTTGAGTTTACGGTAAGACTTAATAAGTTATTGAAATTTTTAGCCAAAAAGGGCAAAACTTTTAAAGAAATAGCATTTGTGGATATTAAACCAAACAAGTTTGTTATTATTTTGGATCTTTTAGATTAGTACTTTATTTCTTGCTAACTTTTTTATATAATATTTGCTGTTGTTGGAATGCATTGCAAAAAACTATTTTCAAACTTTATTGCAAGTTACCACAAAAATCCCAAAAATCCCAATTCTCATGATGTTTTTTTTCCAAGAAACCAACTTTCGCAGATATGCAATTGCGTTTTTTTACCAATAATGGCAATTTGATTTCATGCAATTAATGAATTAGAATTTTTTAATGTTATTTTTCTATTAGTTTTGAATAATAATTAATTTTAAATTATTTTTAGAAATATTCTTAAACTTTAATTTGGAAACTTTATTTGGAGAATGGGATTTTTTCATCTTTAAATTGGGAATTTTAATTTTATGAGCATTTGGGAAAACCGCATTTGACGGGGCGCCACAGGGCTAGTTTACACCCTGATATATATATATATATATATATATATATATATATATATATATATATATATATATATAAAATTGATGGTCATTTTAGATCTGTGGTCATTTTTATTTGTTAAATAAGCAACCATATTTTAAAAATCTTTACCATAAATTGCAACAGTGAAGATTCTTATTTAAGATTGTTTCTAATAAGCACTTTGAACTTGTTATTGATGAATACATCTATGAACTTGTTCTTGATGAATACAGTTATAGTTGAGGCTAAAATCAAAGTGTATTTATTAGTTTACCATTTATATTTGGCGGTGATAAACAGATGCTTTGTGGTGTTTAGTTAAATGGTAAATCCTAAATTAAGATACCATTTTCAAAAACTCTGTATATGTTGCATAGAAAAACTGTTTAATCAATCTCTGGTGTAGATGATTTTGTAACCTTGTCTTTGTACCAATTTATTTAAATGATTTTTAGTTGTTTTAAGAGGCAACTGTGAACAGGACATACCCTAACTTAAGTCACAATTAACATGTAAGTCCTCATAAAAATGATCAACATGTAATTCATCATAAAAATGATTAGCATGTAAGTCCTCATAAAAATGATCGACATGTAATTCATCATAAAAATGATTAACATGCAAGTCATCATAAAAATGCAGCTACATCTAAATCACTTGATGTACGGATTTGCACTTATTTAATGAAACTTTGAGAAATAAAAATAAACAACGAACATAACTATATATAAACAACAACTATATTTAAAAAACATAAAACTACTTAAAAATTTAAAATAAATAAAATTACTTAGACATTAAAATTAGAAAAAAAAAAATCCCAAATGAAGATTCGAACCTTCAACCTTGCCAGCCGCAAAAAATCTCAAAAAATGTCATTTTTCACATCCACAGAAGACTGTTACATTGTGAAAAAATTATTTATAGTATTTGAACATTTTTTTGCATACAAATAAGATTTTTATAATGAAAACATTAGTATGCATGACCAAATAATGACTTCCTTATATGAATGCACAATTTGCATTCATTTTTATTTTACTTTAAAAATAGTATATACAATTAATAATATACGATTATTAATATGCCTTGTAATAACTTATACAATAAATAATAGTATTACATTTTAATCATAAGTGTATTATTAGTATTGTTAGTATTATACTAATACTAACAATACTAATAATAGTAAAAATTATTTTTGTTTTTGGCTATTTGTGCACCCACATGCACAGCACGAAATAAACGTAACTGCAATTTTTCAAAAATAAGTAGTTGCTCTTAAAAGTTTAACAGTTAAAACTTCTTTGAAAACTTATATCCAGTTTATATTACTCATATATCCCTATGAAAGGCTTTCAGAATTTAAGATTTTTTCCCTACTGGGAGGCTGGCTTCACTTTTTAACTCAAGTCACGCATCTAGTTATATTTATATGTCATTGGTTATATCAATTACATAAATTACTCTTTATAGCATATTTTTTATATCATATAATATTATAAAATATTATATCATAAAATATTAAAAATGGCAACCAAATTTTAAACATCTCTTACACATGCATAAATATAAATGACAAAGTGAAAATATTTATTTTAGATGTACTAATGTGTCTGTTAATTTAATTTTTTTTTAAATCCACTTCTAATATTCAGTATAAATATTGAAGAATGACAATCTTGAAATCTCATAATATATCTTTCATACTACATTTTTACATTTTATCATTTCATACTACATTATCTCATAGTATTGCTTTTTTTACATTTCAATTTTCTTCCATTCTTTCTTTTAAACTCAGTAGTTTCACCAATTGACATTTAAAAAAGATTATAATTGACAATTTACCTTTGAATAAAGTAATAAAGAAATATTAAATTATAAAAATTTTGATACCTGATTTCATGTCTCTAATAATGTTTTCTGCAGTTTCATATGCTTCATTCATTGTTGTAACTATCATACCAACTGGACCATGTTTTACCCAACCACTACAATATAAACCTATAATTTTTTAACAAATTTACTGACAAGTCATTTGTTATTTTAAAGTTATAATTAGGATTATAACTTTAAAATATTAATGACTTGTTAGTAAATAGTTATTTTTTCTTTCATAAAGTGCTATTTTAAAATAGTTTTAAATAGCGCTTCATGGCTGAATTTTATAAAAAAAATAATAAATAATGCTTGAAAATTAACAAATTTGTATTCCTTTTAAAACAATAATTTTAAATAAAATCAATGCATATTTAAATGGAAATGCAAGTAACTAATATTTAAATTACTAGCTGATGTTAATAGTTTAAAATAATTCTCGCGCGCACAGATTTCTATTCAATTAGATAAGGAAGTTACCTTGGGTACCATACAAGTAGTTTAAATTGAATTTTTTTTTAAATATTAAAACAATTTAATAAAATTTTTAGTAATAAAACAATTGATAATTTTATTTTATTTAAAAATAATTTATTCATTGCAATGATTTCACAAATAGCAGGAAAAGCTTTGAAAAAATCAAATGAAAAGATTGAATAAAAAGAAGAAAAAAAAGGTGCAGATGGAAGAGAAAAAGTTCTTAGTTATGTACAACAATTTCAAATAATAAGTTACTCAACGCACTTAATGCAAGTTTTTCATATTTTTTGACTCGCTTGTTCTCTGTGGCAACAAACACACAATTTTCCAGTCCGCAAAATATTTACTAGGGTTAGTTAATGATTTAACTCAATTAAAATATATTAAAAAAAACTTATGATTTTCATTTACAAGATGTTTCATTTTATGTTTTTCAGTTAAAACTTTATATACTGTACATTTAGCAAAACCGCAAGATAAAATATCGACAATAGACTGTTCTGTCACAATAAAAGATAAAGTTGATTGATTATCTTTTGTAAAAATAAAATTTACTTGTTCTTTTGTTTTCATAAAAATGTTTTTTACTTGTTTATTTGTTTTCCAAATTTGCTTAAGAAATATTAAATTTTGCCGCTATTTTACATATACTTACAATAATCTCAAGTAATTTAAAGACCAGATTTTTAGTTAAATAGCTTACTGACATTATAAAATAGAGGTGATGCATATCACAATAGTATTTAAAATTTGAACTTAGACTTTTAATTAAAGAGATAAAACATTAAAAGTCAAACGATGTCAAATTTTGTGTTCATCACATTCAAATTAATAAAAACTTTCATATTTAATTGAAAAAACAGATTTTAAACTTGAAATAACTAATTTTATTCTAACTTTGGTATGTTTTTAGACATACGACTGGTTAGAAATTGAATATATGACTCAAAACTTATTTGAAAATGTTGTTTTCGTATAGCATTTTATACCAAAAAATGATACCTCAACTATAAAGCAAAATTTTATACCTGAACTCAAATAATTTAAAAATTTTTAGCATTATTTAATTTTAGACATACGAAAGGACTAAAATTTAAAAAAATTTTGTTTTTTATTTTTTAGTTGTGCTAGAAATATTCAGTTAAACATAGCCAAATGCAAAATTCGTTTATTTTCCAGAACCGGCATTAACTACATTGAGTAAGAATTTCAGTTTTTAAAGTTAGCATTGTTAAAGAAAAATAATTGGACATCCAATTTCTCTGCTCATTAATGTCAGTTTAAAAACTGCTAATGTTAATTAGCAGTTTTTAAACTGCTTTTTTTGTATATACAACATTGTTAATTAACAATGTTGTATATACAAAAAAAATGTACTAGAAAAACAATTCTTTTATGAAACTATAAAAAATATTGTTACATAAAATGAAATTTTCACTAAAATTTAGGGACTAAACATATATTTTTTAAGAATCCTATTATAAAAAAAAAACGCGCAATTAAACGCGCAATTAAATTTATCTATAATTCATTCATTTATTGCAAAATGCGAAAAAAATTTACAAGAAAATAAATACAAAGGTTTAAAGAAAAGAAAAACAAATTAGAATTAAGAAAAAAATTCTCAGTTAAATACAACAATTTTTATATATTATTATATCATTATTAAAATAATATATTAAATATTTTTATTAAAACAATAAAATAAAAACTTCAATCATTTTAAATGATTGAAGATTGATTTAAATGATTAAATTTTGAGAAAAAAAAAGGATTTTCACCAAAAAAAAAAAAGGATTTTCACCACATAAAAAAGGATTTTCACCACAAAAAAAAAAGGATTTTCACCACAAAAAAAAAGGATTTTCACCACAAAAAAAAAAAGGATTTTCACAACAAAAAAAAAAAAAAAAAAAAAAAGGATTTTCACCACAAAATGAGGCAAAAAAACTTTTAGTTTACATCATATTTAACGCGATTGAAGCAATTAAAGTAGCATAAAAAATTTAATTTATAATTTAATGTTTAAGATATATAATTCTATTTTAAACGCATTTTTATGAGAAATATAAAAGTAAAAGCATGTATACTATATTTGTACTAGGATGGTTATACTATACTATATAGATGGTTATACTATACTATATAGATGGTTATACTATACTATATAGATGATTATACTATACTATATAGATGGTTATACTATACTATATAGATGATTATACTATACTATATAGATGGTTATACTATACTATATAGATGGTTATACTATACTATATAGATGGTTATACTACACTATATAGATGGTTATACTATACTATATAGATGGTTATACTATACTATATAGATGGTTATACTATACTATATAGATGGTTAAACTATACTATATAGATGGTTATACTATACTATATAGATGGTTATACTATACTATATAGATGATTATACTATACTATATAGATGGTTATACTATACTATATAGATGATTATACTATACTATATAGATGGTTATACTATACTATATAGATGGTTATACTATACTATATAGATGATTATACTATACTATATAGATGGTTATACTATACTATATAGATGGTTATACTATACTATATAGATGGTTATACTATACTATATAGATGGTTATACTATACTATATAGATGGTTATACTATACTATATAGATGGTTATACTATACTATATAGATGATTATACTATACTATATAGATGGTTATACTATACTATATAGATGGTTATACTATACTATATAGATGATTATACTATACTATATAGATGGTTATACTATACTATATAGATGATTATACTATACTATATAGATGGTTATACTATACTATATAGATGGTTATACTATACTATATAGATGGTTATACTATACTATATAGATGGTTATACTATACTATATAGATGATTATACTATACTATATAGATGGTTATACTATACTATATAGATGATTATACTATACTATATAGATGATTATACTATACTATATAGATGGTTATACTATACTATATAGATGGTTATACTATACTATATAGATGGTTATACTATACTATATAGATGGTTATACTATACTATATAGATGGTTATACTATACTATATAGATGGTTATACTATACTATATAGATGATTATACTATACTATATAGATGGTTATACTATACTATATAGATGGTTATACTATACTATATAGATGATTATACTATACTATATAGATGGTTATACTATACTATATAGATGGTTATACTATACTATATAGATGGTTATACTATACTATATAGATGGTTATACTATACTATATAGATGGTTATACTATACTATATAGATGGTTATACTATACTATATAGATGGTTATACTATACTATATAGATGATTATACTATACTATATAGATGGTTATACTATACTATATAGATGGTTATACTATACTATATAGATGATTATACTATACTATATAGATGGTTATACTATACTATATAGATGGTTATACTATACTATATAGATGGTTATACTATACTATATAGATGGTTATACTATACTATATAGATGGTTATACTATACTATATAGATGATTATACTATACTATATAGATGGTTATACTATACTATATAGATGGTTATACTATACTATATAGATGGTTATACTATACTATATAGATGGTTCTGCCATTTTTTACTACCTTTTAATAAATTAAAATACATTCTTTAAATA